CAGGGTCAACGCAGCCACATACCAGGAAGTTTTAGAGCACTTCATGCTTCCTGCAGCTGACCAACTTTTTGGAGATGCAGATTTCATTTTCCAACAGGACTTGGCACCTGCACACAGTGCCAAAGCTACCAGTACCTGGTTGAAGGACCATGGTATCCCTGTTCTTAATTGGCCAGCAAACTCTCCTGACCTTAACCCCATAGAAAATCTATGGGGTATTGTGAAGAAGAAGATGCAATACACCAGACCCAACAATTCAGAAGAGCTAAAAGCCACTATTAGAGCAACCTGGGCTATCATAACACCTGAGCAGTGCCACAGACTGATCGACTCCATGCCACGCCGCATTGCTGCAGTAATACAGGCCAAAGGAGGCCCAACTAAATACTGAGTGCTGTACATGCTCATACTTTTCATGTTCATACTTTTCAGTTGGCCAACATTTCTATAAATCCTTTGTTTTTATTGGTCTTCAGTAATATTCTAATTTTCTGATATGATGAATTTGAGATTTTCATTTGTTGTCATTTGTAATCATCAAAATTAAACAAAATAAACATCTGAAATATATGAGTTTGTATGTAATGTATGAATATAATATACAAGTTTCACTTTTTAAATGGAATTACTGAAATCAATCTACTTTTTCATGATATTCTAATTTTATGACCAGCACCTGTACATTGATTTAATTCATAGATTGTGTTATCCTTTAGCAAATTATTGCTGTTTATTTCTCTTATTTCTCTAACAATATTTAAATTTTATTTATTTGTGTTAAAGCTATGTGTATGCACCTTGAAGCTCTATCTCTCCGGTTATTTTTCCTGAAAAGAGATCACTTGGGAAAAACTCTTTAAATAAAACTTCGTACCTTATATGTATTAAGTAACCAGGAGACATGACAACAGATTTTAATATAAATTGTAATCTTACTCAGATCAGAGAAATTCCTTAGAGTTTACATGAGTTGCATCATCATCATATCATTACATCATACATGCTATCAGATCAGTAGGCCTCTATGGCTTGTGCCTTATCAAAATATTACACTTCGTCCTTAGTTGAAGGACACCACTCTTTCTCCATTTCCAAATATTTTGCCACGTACAGATTTAAGATTATAATCCTGACAGAGGAACTGTCGTAATTAGATAAAATATTGTGGGAAGCATCAGTGTTGACAGCTAACATTAAGGTGTAACACATCATCAATGATAATTATCCTAACAGTTCCCCCTGAAAAGGTGACCTTTAAAAATGTCACTTTAAACAACCACATTAATGTCTGCTCATTAACAGGATATTAATCATAGAAGAAACTTTAAGCGCTGTTTCTTTCATCATAGAATCATGGAATAAACAATTAACAGTCCCCCTGATGATGTAGCATTAATCAAAATTCAATCAAAAGTAATCACAATCAAAATTTCACAGACCAAATGTTATCACTCAAGACCACTTTTTCAGCATTTAACTGCAATTTGGGTTTCATCTAATGAAAGGAAGGCTGTGTTAGTTACCTATGCACACACTACTTTCATTTACCTTAGGTTAGGTAACCTAACCCTGTAACTCTAATAAGGTCAAATTCATCTCTCACTCCCACCTGGGGGCCTCCTACAGTAAGTGCGACCGCTCAGCATGGATAAATCATCCATCCAAATTTACCAATCATTCAGTCACAGTAGAGGACGTCCCATTTTGAATCTGACCATTATCACATTACCAACTAATTAAAGAACCTTAAAGCCAATCAGGTTTTGAATCGTTCTATGCCACAACAAAAGTGGCATAAAACCTAATCATGGTGGGTCTGGAGCAAAATGTCTCCATGCTTTTCATTTTTTTGTTTGTTTGTTTTTTAATAGAATCATGATTTTACAATCCGATTAAATTTGAGCACTAATCTTGGCAAAGTAGCTCAGGCTGTCAGAATGAATTGATAACCTATGTAAACACCAACTTTGAGCTTGATTTGATCTGAACTTTGATTCTAACACAGAATAGAATAGAATAGAATCGTTCTTTATCCTACAGTTGGGGAAATTAGCAGATAAGTTGGAAATGTAAGCACACAAAAAACATTAAAATAGAATATTGCAAAAATAAGGTCAAATAGAAAAGGTACTAAAACACCACACAATTAGGAATAACCAGCAATTATAGACTTACACCTATGAAGATTAGCATCCCACATTATAATGCCACCACCACTAGTTTTCCTGAAGGGGCGAACATGTTCAAGGTGATTTTAGTAACATACCAGGTTTTTGCAGGTTTTGTGTCTTTTACCAGAAAAAACATTTTTAACATGTTTTTTTTTCTTCTCTACATCAATTGTGATCACTTAAAATAGATTTTTTTTTTTACATTTTCTTTAATTTTTCTAAATCCCTTTCTTCCTACCATTCTCAATAGAGGTTGAGGTCTGTTTTGTGCACTGCAAATGTTTTCTGTTTTTGCTTTTGTCAACAGATATTCCTGTCAGAGATGTGAATCTCTGCAGCCCAACCAAATTTACAGCAGAGCTCTTTGGTGCATATGAACACAATACATTTTCCCTAGACTTAAAGTTTTGTCATACATTTGGCTTGAAAAAAGGGTGCCTTTAGTTCTTGTCTTGGCACTTGAATGCCTCTAATGTCTAAATATCAACTAAGGGTTTTGATGGGTTGTTTTGAGTTCCTTTTTTTCTTTCCCATCCATGTTTTTAAGTTTGTTTTAAAGATTTTCACAAGAACTACTTAGTTATTCATTGTTGTCTGGATGAACTATAATTCAAGAATAAGGCTATACACTGACTCAGAAACAAAGATTACTTTTTGTAGTTTGTCAAACTAATTATTTTAGGTATCACTAAGATGATATTAACATTGTGTATCAGGGTACAACCAAAGCGAAGAGAAAACCACATGTTCCAAATTCAGCAAAATAGTTCCATCTCTTACTTTCAGGCTGCTAATGACAATTAAAGCACTTAAACCACCTAAATTGTGGATTTTATTCAAATGCATACAATATGTTATAAATACTTTGTCCAATCAAAAAGTGAAAACCTTTAGGTGGTTCTCTGAACCTGCCTCAGGAAATTCATTCTGGCACAGCCTGACCCGAAAGTAATAGAGACAAAAGGTAGTTACCACCTGTATAGGTCAAGGCACTCCTTTTGTTGTCATTTTTGTGACAGTCTCTCTCAGCAGTTTCTGTCTCATTCTCTCCTTAGTTTTGGTAAAAACACAAATTTTATTATCTTTTAGAATAAGTAGCTGGCTGTGCGTTGCTGCCAAGGAGGTGTTGGACAACAGGAAGTAAAGTGAGAGACACCCACTCTATTAGAAAGACTGCAAATAGCATCAATTATATGTTCAGTTATTGAAATGAATCAATCTTGCCACCAGTTATGGAGACAAACTGGATATACAGTAAGATCCTTTTAATTATTTCAGATGATCTATAATCTGTGGTGTTAATTTAAAGATAGAAATAAGAACATGTCAAGAAAACGCCACCAGGTAATTTAAATAATGCTATGACAGCATTTCTGTTTTCTTTTTCCCGTTATGACAGTTGGTAGGGACTATCTATTTCTTTGGCAGAAAAGACTTAAACAGTTCTTAGTACTATACGATATATTTTTAAAATGATGTCTGATATTGATGTCGAATCTATAAAATTGCCAAAGCTATAAAAAATGATGAGGACTTTGAGTTGGATGACTTTTATATCCTGTGGGACTTCCAGATACAAATGGACTGAATGGTAATGGGAAATTAAACTGGACATTGGTGTGGTGGACAAAAAGCTGAGGAAAGCCATTGTGATTGACATAGCAATACCAAGTTACTGTAACATCAGGAACACAACATGAAAAACGATAGGGGCTCAGAGAAGAGCTGGAGGAAAACTGGACGGTCAAGGCATCAGTGGTGCAGAACCCTCAAGCTCCCAGGCCTCTGGGAGAGGAACTGAGCTTGGAGGAAAAAGTGGAGGAAGACCACACACGATGGGTGAGGAAGAGTTCATATATATATATATATATATATATATATATATATATATATATATATATATATATATATATATATATATATATATATATATATATATATATATATACACACACATACACATGGTTGTTAGATGATCTAAATGAAAATAAATGTATCTCATTACCACATAAGGGTAGTAACTAGTTATATATAGTTAGTTACATTTACTTGTGTTAAATAATATACTTTTAGGAGCAGATTTACTGCACCATACTTTTTACTTTTAGGTAAGTAGTGTCTTTACAAAATACTGCTTATCTTACTCGAGTAAAATGTTAATGTTTGTGTTAAAATTAGTATTTCTTTTTTTTTATTATTTAATATAAGATTACTTTATATCGAATGAACCTATCTCGACATTTGGAGATGAAGCTCATCTGCAGTAAAGAGTAAATATTGTTACTGAAGGTGATGATGGGGTTGACCATTTAGACAAATTATAAAACATTTAACACGTGCCACGCTAAGTTATGCCCTCTCCATACTTCTGCAACAAGAAAAACGAAACATTCCGGTTTTTCTAGTCGTCATCATTTGCATGTTCATGATCAGTACATTTCTCATTTTAATTCTTGTTTTCACTTTTTCCTGCACTTTTCAGATCCATTTCTTTAACACTAATGTCAAGTACTGCATTTTATATTTTTATTCATCTAGAGAGCACGTAGGCCTATGTTAAAGGAAAACAAGGGTGCTGATAGTAGCTAATAAGCAACGTAAAGTTCCACGGTGTCAAAATACTTGACCTGTCAAAATAAATCATATGTAAAATATACCTTTATACTTGTAGCATAATATACATTTGAAATAATTGAGTTATGTATATTTGTTAATTATCGTCATGGAAATGACTTGATTCGTAGTTTTAGTGGAGCTGAAAACAAACAAATCTAGTATTTAGAACAGACAAATTCTTGCTTACCTTTATTTTGAAGGGATAACCCCATGACATCCGCATAGCTTGACAGAGGGGGGACGTTGTCAGACTGGATCGGTCTCTCCATCCCGAACAAGAGAGAGGCAGCTTTTAGTTAACTCTATATACCTGGCGAACAGTAGGCCCTTTTAAACGAGGACATACACTACTTTTTAAATTACAGGACATAGCAGTGCTGGGGAGCTGAACCGGCCTTAACATGAAGACGCGACAGCTAGTTGGATTGGTCTATTTGCTAGCTGTATATTCCAGTTCATGCTTGGCGTTTTATCTTCCGGGTTTAGCTCCAGTGAGTTTTTGTCCAAAAGACGAAAACAATCTCAAAGATTGCCAGGTATGGGGGTTTTCAAACTGGGGTATCAATTCTTTTTGAAATCATGTTTTATTTAATCTATTGATGTTCTGCATGAATGTTTTTTTGGACGTTTTAATTTAGCTGGCAGTAATAGCAGTAGCTAGCCACTTGTCCTCTAGGCCCCGGCTAATTGCTGGAGCAGAATATTATCACATCATGATGTGTCGTCACTTTGTGCTTTCCCCCTTCACCATTGCAAGTAAATTATACACAAATACTCTCCCTGGATTTATTTATTTTTTCTTGAATTGTCTTTAAAGTTAAACACATACTACTGCATAAAGCAACGGCTGTTAGCCAACGTAACAAAACTAACAAAATTGAAAGCTGATGGGAAGGAAAAGTTTAAATAACAACTGAACTATTATCTCGGTGTCGGAATTATTGCGTGCAATGTGTCAACTTAACTCTCGCTTTCTTTAATGTGCTTTAAAAGATAAACTTTTTTTTTTTATTGCAGACGCAAATCGAGTTGTTCGTCAATCGTTTGGACTCGGTGGAGTCTGTTCTGCCTTATGAGTATGACGTGTAAGTCGCACCGTTTATATTTTCGATCAGAATCGTATTGATCGGTATCCTGATCAGTATTTCACTTTGAACCATTGATCTGAATATTTGCTAAAGGTTCGACTTCTGCAAGGATGACCATGAGAAGAGACCATCTGAGAACCTGGGACAGGTGCTGTTTGGTGAGAGAATTGAATCTTCCCCTTACAAGGTGAGGAGTGAAAGGTGGTAAATATGATTTTGGTTATTCATTCGTAATATGCATTCATTGATGTATTTACTAAGTGTATTTACTTATTTCAAATTATTAAAACAAAATAACTTGATAATGAAGTAAGGCAATGTAAAAAGTTGATGAAATGAACCCAAACGGCTTATATTAAGCCGCACACAAATTAATGAAATTTTCTTTTGTAGCCCCCAGACCACTAGGGGTAAATTCTGGCACCGGGTGTAACAAAAAAGCCAGGAACCTATAAGATGATGTCAGTAGAAAAATATAATTTATTTCACAATTTTGCAGGAGTTCACAAACACAGCAGACAGCAAAACAGGGAAGCTCTAAGCCTCAGGGTCTCCCAACAGCTGCTTAGTGGCGCAGCAAGAAGGTTCCGGGTTCTATTCCCTGCCCGGGGTCTTTCTGCATGGAGTTTGCATGTTCTCCCTGAGCATGCGTGGGATCTCTCCGGGTTCCTCCCACAGTCCAAAAACATGACTGTTAGGTTAATTGGTTTCTCTAGATTCTCCTAAGGTGTGAGTGTGTGAATGGTTGTTTGTCTCCATGTTGGCGACCTGTCCAGAGTGTACCCTGCCTCTTGCTCGTAGACAGCTGGACATAGGCACCAGCACCCCTCGTGACCCCGCCTGGGCTTAAGCGTGTAAGAAAATGGATGGATGGGTCTCCCAAGGCTAAAACAACAAACTAAACACCCTCTTATATAGTTATGAAATAAACCACTTTCTAACAGAGAACTGAAAACAAAGTGCAATACCTGAACACCCTGGGTAACCACGAAACAAGGAGAAAACAGTGAAACAAAAACTGCAGCTTCCACTGTGAACAGAAAAATGCTTTAGTTAGCCAATTATTCAACATGAATCACACATTAACACTCAGCTCTCAGACAAGATCAGTACAGATCAAGGCCCAGGGAATAAGAGAAATGGGCCTGACATCTCCAGTTTGAAGCTATTTATGGGGGTGGCTGATGAGCTTCAACACATTGCACCTGTAACAGCCAGGTAGACCTGAAACACAAAGAGAGAGCTCTCTCAAGAAGAGAGTCCCTAGAGGTCAGTGACCGTAACAATCCAAGATTTTAATTTCAATTTGATTTTAGTGCTAAACAAAATAAAGTACTTCATCAAATTTACTGTATGTACTGAAAACGCATCCAATTTTCCCTTGATCCTGCATAATTCCTCCAAGAAAACACGTTTTCCTCTGTAAATAATAAAAAAAAATCTTAAAATCAATACTCAATTTGTTTTTCTATTGATGATAATCAGAATAAGTTTATCCACCATTTACAACTGCATTAAAAAAACAACAACAAAATAATTCAACGGCATTGAGAAACTGCAGAAAATCTTTCCTTAATGTTTAAAAGGGAAGCAAAATCGGAATTATGAGGTCCGATTTAAGGAAGGCTAGTTGGTGCATTAGCTACATGTTTGTTTATATAATGTTCTGAAACATCTATTGTATCTTCTTTTTTTAATTTTCTATTTAACAGTTTGGCTTTAAAGAAGATCTAAAATGCAACAAGGTGTGCACAAAGAGTTACAAGGCAGGCAACAAAGATGATGCAGCAAAGTTGGAATTTCTCAAGATGGGAATGCAGCTGAACTATCAGCATCACTGGTGGGTTAAAGATGCACTCTTTTGTAGCATCCTTACTCTAAAGAAAATATTATTGTTTTGCTAATTAAAGAAAAACAACATTAAATGATCTTAGGAACTTGTTTTTTGAAATGTATTTTCAGGATAATTGACAACATGCCGGTAACATGGTGCTATGATGTTGAAGATGGGCAAAAATACTGCAACCCTGGCTTCCCCATTGGCTGTCTCGTCACAGCAGATGGTAGAGCAAAAGATGCCTGTGTAATTAATGTAAGTTTTTTTTTTTTTTTTACACTTTCTTTTTGGGCTTTTATGATCAAAACATTTTTGATTAAATGCAGTATTTTGCAAAGATGTATTTCCAGTGAAGATGATAGTTTGCAGCTGAAGTAGATTTGACACTAGTTCAACAAAGGTTCTCTAACAGCCTTCAAGATGTCAGAGAAATTTAGCACCTTGCTTTAGTAATAAGGTTCCTAATTTTGCCTTTGCTTTCAGTTGACTTTTAACATATTTTGGATTCTGAAAAGCAAATGCATTAAAGCAACACTGCATCATTTTGACCCAAGTATTTGTTATGAGATCTAATAAATGACTTATCAAATCAGTATACAGCACTTGGTTATTATCAACACTTCATGTAGGCTGCCCCTCTCTAGAATTCACCTATGTGACGGATCCATCACTGACTAGCCCCATTTACACTACCCTTTTGAAACCGTGCCGAGATCAATCCGAGCACGGTAACCGAGATAACCGTTGAGTGTAAATGGCACAATTAACTGAACCGGACCGCACCAGACACATCCGAACCGCGCTAACATGGTACTAGTTCATCAGTAAGGCTCGCCGCGGTTCAGTTCTGGCTCGGTTCTCAGATAGCAAAGAGTGCATGAGCAGACCATGTCATCTCCTTACAGTCAGCCTATGTAATCATGAAATTTCTGACATTAATAAAAATACCAGCTTCCCTACCTCGCCACACGATTTCCAGTGATGATTCTGCTTAGCAGTGTTATGAGCTCCAATGTCAGTTGTTGTTTCCTGCGTCTGTAAGCCCTGATTAGACTATCGTCTGTCCTATCCACTTCCCAGAAGCCAAATCAGTCAAGTAAATTCACCAAAGGCTGCATTCTTCGCCTGACTCTCCACAAACTTCCTGAGTGTTATGGCCGTCACCATGTTGATTTGCGAATATTGATTTGTTTACTTCTAGAGAGCAGTAGTACTGTAGATTGCCACGAGGAGATGAGGAACCCTGCTAGAGTAGTGTGTAAATGGTCGTAAGGAACCAAGTTTGGCATGGTTAACTGATCCAAGCTTGGCATGGATCAGTTTTCAGAGGGTAGTTTAAATGGGGCTAATAAAATCTAACTAAGCAAAGGGTTGTTTGCTTTGTTACAAAACAGATATGACACTTACCAAGTCAGACATATTTATGGTTCTCTGATGCAGGATTTAATCTAGAGCAGTGAATGTGGCCTCATTTTACGAGTAACTCCATAATTATAATTATGCTGGTCCAAAGTAGTCTGATATCAGATTCCAAACAGAGGGCGATGGTTTAATTTGCCACTGCATTTTCAGCTGTGCTGCTTCCATCAACACCCTTGTTTATAGATGCTGGAGATTGGCCTGTTTTCCAGTGTAGTCCTGTTTCTCTGTCCGTGACTGGCTGGATGTGCTCTCTTCATCCTGTGACATGGGAGTTGGCTCGGAGCTCGTCTGCCTGGCTGTGTGTTTCCTGGATGGGGCTGCCTTTTACAGCTGGCTTTTGTATCTCTGCTTCTGTCTCCTGGAACCCCAGTCGACCTCGGCATATGGCCGCTCACACTGAGACTGGTTCTGCTGGAGGTTTCATCCGGTTAAAAGGGAGTTTATCCTCTCCACTGTCGCTACAAGCATGCTTAGTGTGAGGGATTGTATTTCAGTCAATGAGTCGATGCAATCAACCAGTTTTCCGTAGATAGAAAGCTTTGAATCAATTTGACCGTATGATCTGGTGAACTATAAAGTGCCTTGAGATGACGTGTTGTGAATTGGCGCTATATAAATAAACTGAATTGAATTGAATTGAATTGAAAAATTTTTGCAGTGGCCTTTAGAGGTGCCAAACCAAGAAGTTACAGGTCTAACACCCCTAGTGGCTATAAGAGGCACTGTGTTGCTTTAATATAATGGAAAAAGGAAATAAATCCAGTCACTCTAACCTTTCAGACATAGACAAGCATGAGTTTAGTACTTCCAAATTAAGTTTAAGCTCTACTGTGTGTTGATAAATTATTTTTTCTTTTCTTTTTTTTTCAGTCTGAATTCAACAAGAAAAACACATATTATGTCTTCAACCATGTGGAAATAAAGATCACTTACCATAGTGGAGACAAAGAAGGAGGCTGGGAAGGAGCTCGCCTGGTTGGTGCCACCCTTGAACCCAAGAGGTAACTGCTGAGAGCATGTGAATATAAATGTCAATAACTATTCTTAACCAATAAATGTGAATGTAATCTAACGTTGTTGTTGTTTTTTTGTAAATAGCTTTAAACAAGCTGATGAAAAAAACCTAAACTGTGAATCAGGGAACCCGATGGAAGTCCCAGTAGAGTTTAAAGAAGATGTATCAATAGTTTACACCTACTCTGTAACATTTGAGGTAAGCCTTTGTATGTAGGACTGCTTGTTACTGATATGTTGTCTATTTATGAAAATTACAGTAAACCATTTTTTATTTTTTACAGGAAAATAATCAAATCAAATGGGCTTCTCGATGGGACTACATCTTGGTCTCCATGCCTCACACAAACATCCAGTGGTTCAGGTGTGAAGACATTTCTGCTGATATTCACAGGCTCATTGTACTTGTTTTCTACATTCAGGAGTGTCATGTTTGTTTTACAGTATCATGAATTCCTTGGTCATTGTGCTTTTCCTGTCTGGAATGGTTGCCATGATAATGCTGAGAACCCTGCACAAGGATATTGCCCGATACAATCAGGTGGATCAGGTAAAGGCGTGGTTTGACTTTACTTTTTATGATGTGTATACAAAAACGTAAGGCTACTCCAAAAACATAAGACATCATGTTTGCACATTGTGCGTAATTGAAGTTATTGCTTAGATATATCTCAATTAATAATTATGGGCATTTAAACGACATTTGAAGGGGGGAAAAAAGCATCCATTGTTGCTTACATGCATGCATGCATACACACACACACACACACACACACACACCTCAAGCCAGACTTTCTGTGGATTTTCACCAAAATCCTTTGCTCAAACAGAATAAAGGGTTAAATGGGTTTATTATATGATCATAAACCTCTAAAGCAGCATTAGCTCTTAGCCCTAATAAGCTACAATTATTGAAGAGGAAACCAACCTATCGGGATCAGCATGCAAATTGTGCTGTTTTTAAATTTTGGACAAAGAATGCCTCCTTTAACAGCATCACTATTGTTGGAATAAATGTTTATGTCTTTGCTGTAGGTCAATGATTCAGTTCAGTCTGTTGTAGGGTAGCAAGTAAATTTCTAGTGCAGATCTTTCTATAAACTAAGTCCACACAGATTATTTCCCCAGCTTGCCTAAAACGTAATTAGATAAACCAGGTCTTTATGCATTTCACAACAAAACAAACTTCTGATGTTACATGTAATTGTTGATGTTAGGGATGCCACGAAAATTCGGCCGACGGAAATTTTCTGCCGAAAAGTGCATTTTCGGTTTTTGGCAGATAGACATTTACCACGGAAACGACATGGCAGAAACTTGTGGTGATGCAAGCAAATAGCCCAGCCAGCTTGCATAAATGTTGCCAACGCGCAATGAAAAAGACTGAATAAAGAGAGCAGAGTTGAGCGCACGGCAGACTGGTTTTCAGTGAGCAGGTGGGAGTTTAAACCCTGCACAGTGGTCTCACTGCATTATCAGGTCATTGGCAAAAAAATGAGGCAGTTGAAATCCAAATTTCCCAATCAGCATTCTGAATATGAGAAGAATGTGACACGGAAAAGGAAACACTGAACACGCCCACTCAGGCTGTGGCAGGCGGGTTTGAAAAGGCAAGAAAGTTTCCCAGTGGTTCTGCCAAGGTGAAGGGCATAGCAAATCAATGTCAGTGGTATTTATATTGTTACTTTTGTAATTGATTTCTTGAAATGACAGGATTTTAGTTAGAATTAGTAGACATCATAGCCAATAGCTGTGGTTCATTTGACCCAATTTCTTTTAGTGTTTGGGTTTTTAGCCTTGGTTTCCTAATTTTTGTTCTGTTTTTTCGCCAAAAAATTTCATTTTGCTGCATCCCTACTTGATATTCATGGTGTTACTACAAAACGTCTTGGTTACTGGCAGAGAGCCTGACTCCCAGGTAGATTTCGTTATGTTGCATTATAATTTTTATCAGACAAGCCCATCTACTTCCCCTTAGTAATCTGAAAGCAGTATAGAAGAAGTAATCTTGAGCAAGCAGCGTAAACCGCTTTCTTTTAGTAAATTATGACAAATAATATGCTTGTTATTACTGCTTGGGATCCTGATAATGAGGCTTGAAACAAAGAGGGTTCTCTTACAAGTCAGTTTGTGATCCTATGTTTACATAGCGAAGATGAAAGATCCTGTACTTCTGTATAAAATACAGATGTGTTAAAAATGTATATATATATTTTTTTTAACAAATTAAACTGATGTATAGATTTTAATCAGTAGTAGAAAAATGATGTATTTGAAACAGGATTTTTTTTGTGGCATATGTCCTAAATCTTTTATTGTAAAATACCACCCAGCACGAGCACATTGTATCTAGAATTATAAATACTTTGTTACATTTCACAGGGAGACTTGATAAGGCTTACACCATCCAAGGACAAATCTTCTCTTCCTTATGTAAGCTTAATAAAAACTATTTCAAAGATCTCTCTTTTTTGTTTTTGGTAACTAAATCAGGTGCTTGGGTGTGTGTAATTCTACCAAACAAAAAACACATGGAATGTAAAATGTGGTGTGGATCTTTAAAGTAGGAGTTAAAATATCCATGAAATGTAACAGTTTTTATAAAAAAAAGAGGTCTAACTTGTTAAAATATAGTGGTTTGTTCACACCAAATTTTACACCTTCTTAAACTAAGTCTTCACTCACTCGTTTGTGGCTAGCAGGAATAACTGTCTGGTGGTTGGTGCGACTTTTAACTCACGTTTTTTTTTTTGTACTTTTTTCCCCTCTCTTAACTCTTCTATCGATCTTTGCCCTCCAGGAGGATGCACAGGAGGAGTCCGGATGGAAGCAAGTGCATGGAGATGTCTTCCGTCCTCCCAGGAAAGGGATGTTGCTCTCTGTGTTCCTTGGACAAGGCACCCAGATCTTCATCATGACCTTCATCACACTCTGTAAGAACGTCTTCACCTCTTTTGAACACACAGAATGTCATTGTTCCAAATGACACCTTCCTCTGTAGGTTGATGCCTATCCCTCGTTTACCGAGGATCGATTTAAAAGGCTTTGTCTAGTGCTTGTTTGCATACTTGATGCCTACATTTAGAAGCCTTACATAATCTAACATCTGCTTAACAAATCTGGGGGAAAATGTGGCCTGTAAAGGGTGTTAAATGCTTAAAGCGATGAAACACAAATCGGTCTGCCTTATTCCTTTACAATGCACAAAAGAAAACTCCCCCTCATGAGCATCATCTGATTCTGAGCTGTAGAATTTATTTTTTGGAGGCTAGTGTCACAAGTATGGCAGCAGATATTCCTAATAAAACATATCAGTTCTTTTCTTATCTTCTGAACTGTATCTAACATCTGAATTATACGGTAACATCGTAGTTGGAAGGAGAGAAGTTGTTGTAATCTGGTGCATCTTCCACACTCAGCTGTACATATGTTATGAACAATGCTCTGATGTTTTTATTTATCAATTCTGTCCTCTGTAGTCCTGGCCTGTCTTGGATTCCTGTCTCCTGCCAACAGAGGGGCCCTGATGACATGCGCTGTGGTGCTCTGGGTACTGCTGGGCACACCTGCTGGCTATGTGTCTGCACGTCTTTACAAAAGTAAATGTCTAATTTGTATGGAAATTCTACTCTAGCAGATTTAGCATTTCAAACTTTTTATAGTTGGATTATTTAATGTATAAGACATTTGTAAACCACTTATTTTAGAGAATGCTGTTGAATTTCTGATTTTATTTCTTATTTTACTTTGAAATAAAATGCTTGACTTATTGTAGATGAAACAAAAACAAAGCCTTACATTTTAGTGACACCACATTGATTCTGTGAATTCATTGCTTTTCACTACTTGTAAACACTTACTACTTATCAGCACTTACACAACTTTTAATGAAAGTTTTAACTACGAATTATGATAAAATGACTGAGTGAGGGAATGTGTAAAAATGTCTTAAAATAAGTGTATTTACCCTTTTTGAGTAGGTAAATATGTTTATCTGCCAATGGAATGAGTATTTTTGCCCTTAAAATATGTCAATTAAATAGGCCTATGAAATAAGAGATTGCATTTTTTATTCTTATTTTAAATATAAATTGCCTTATTCCATTGGCAAAGTGTCTAACTTATCTGCTTAATTTGAGAAAAAATGCTCCTATTTTAAGAAAAATTGACTTACTTGGATGTACACTTTTTGCAATGTTTTGTACTCTCACAATGATTAATTCTTGACTTTCTCATTTTCAGCTTTTGGAGGTGAAAAGTGGAAGACAAACGTCTTGCTGACAGCACTCCTATGCCCAGGGTATGTTGAATAGTTTGATAATGCTAAACCAATGCTTGTGCTTTTTCTCTCAACAGGTCTGTAGTCACATTCACTAATCTAATGCAGGATATGGTTTACCTTTATGCTGTCTGACCGTTTTTCTCTTATTTATTTAGGATTGTATTTGCTGACTTTTTCCTGATGAACCTGATCCTGTGGGTGGAGGGTTCCTCTGCTGCAATCCCATTTGGTACTCTGGTGGCCATTTTGGCCATGTGGTTTGGAATTTCTGTACCCCTCACTTTTGTCGGTGCCTACTTTGGATTCAAGAAACCTGTTAGTCAGATATTCTTATTGGACAAAAATATTGACAAATATCTTACTTTGTGGTACGTTGTAAGCAATCATCTTTTTTTTTCTGCTTTGTGCAGGCGATAGAACAACCAGTGAGGACAAATCAAATCCCCAGGCAAATTCCTGAGCAGTCCTTCTTCACTAAACCTATCCCTGGTATTGTGATGGGCGGGATCCTTCCCTTTGGTTGCATCTTCATCCAACTGTTCTTCATCCTCAACAGCATTTGGTAAAAATATGAGATATTGCTATTTCTGAGAAATGATTAACTTTTAATTGCGCCAAATTCGTCATAATTCTGATGTTTGTCCTTCTTTGCTGCCCGTTCTTATGTGTTTTAGGTCTCATCAGATGTACTACATGTTTGGGTTCCTGTTCCTGGTTTTCATTATTCTCCTGATTACCTGCTCGGAGGCCACAATTCTGCTGTGTTACTTCCACCTGTGTGCTGAGGTACCTCAATGTTTTAGACTTGATTTTATTATCCCTATAAACGGAACCTAACTTCCACATTAATCTTTTGTCTCACTTGTCTAGGACTATCATTGGTGGTGGCGTTCATTCCTGACCAGCGGTTTCACAGCAGTCTATCTCTTCATCTATGCTGTGCACTACTTCTTCTCAAAGCTGCAAATAATTGGCGCGGCCAGCACCATCCTGTACTTTGGTTACACTATGATTATGGTTCTCATCTTCTTCCTCTTCACAGGTAAGTTTTATTCAAAGCTGTTTTTTATTTTCACCTCATTCAGGTATGTTAAAGACATAGCTTAATTGCCTCAATGTTTTGGGTTTAATAAAGGATGGGATGTTTATTTATAGGTATTGCCAACTTGACAGTAGGTGGAGCATTCAGGATCCTGCCCAGTGGCTTTTAGGATGTTGCATCATTTGTTTGCTTTTATTTTAGTTGTCCTTTGTGCTTGCACAGATGTATCTCTAGTAATATAGTAAAAAATCCCAACAAATTTCAGCAATGCAGTCATATGATAAAACTGACAAAGATTAGTTGCACTCTGATGTTTTTTTTTATGTGATTATTTGTTTACTTTAAGGATAACGGCCTACATCTAACAGATATCCAATATGAAGTTTACTTATTTTATTGCCTGCTCAGTTGTGAGGAAGAATGCTTATAGCGGTCCAGCACATATTCATTGATACATTCTATAGGGAGTGTGTAGTAAAAAAAAACACATTTAAAATAAGCTGGCTGTATGCATGTGCTTTATTCATAGATAGAAATGTAAAGTTGAGTGAAAGGGAAAGAAAACAAAGCTGGAGGAAAATGTAAACAACTGACTTAATCCATTCTTACGGGCTAAAACTGTGGCTTTCTGTCTGATAAGCCGTTCCTGAATTCTCCTACCATTTTAAGATAAAAAGGGCTAGTCGGTGATAGGATGAATGTCACCTGCCAGTTGTCCAGTGAGTTTTATCCATTCTGAATCCTGAAGGTTTTAAAGCATCTCCTTCATTTCTCTGCTGAAAAACTTTAGGGAGACTGTGATTTCATTTTCCAGTAGAACTGTTTCTTCTGAGCCACATTGGTTCATTTCCAAAGTTGCACAGTGATGTGGTGCAGCTGACTATTCTTGCCCTCTCAAAAAAGATTTAAGTTGTCAGCCGAAAGAGGATCATATTAAGTCCCAAATAATAGTCTGTATGTTGCACAAGATCATCTGCCTCACAAGGACGTTGATGGGGACACATGTCCTGGTTTTATACCGTCATTAGGAAAGATAAAAATTAGTCTGTAGCAGTGCTCATCATGACTGCTCACTATCTACGGTCAGAGCTATAAGTAGAATGTGGATAAGATGTCAAAAGATTATCGCTGCAAAGTAGTTTGACAGTTCAAGAAAATAAGATGATTAGTTTCCCTCCTTGCTTCTAGTTTTGATTTAAATAATCCTAATCCATGTCATTTCCTCTTTTCATTTCGTTGTCTGCTTTTGTCATCTCATCCCAACTTTGAACTTAACTTATTTCGTCTGCGTCTATGTGTGGCCCGCTTTCAGATTAGACTTTATACCAAGAGGAAGGAATCCAAGATTTTTATTTCAACTCTTCTTTTTTTTTTTTATTCTTTCTTTTTATGTTTTCATAAAGAGGGGGTAAATAAACTACTATGTAGAAGTTCAAAAGTAATTTGTTCATTCATTTCTACAGCTAAAGCTGGAAAAAAGCTATTATATTGTATAAAAAAAACTATTAAATAAAGATGTTTTACACATTTTTCAGCCAGTAAATATGTAAATCTGTTGCCTTCAAGTAGTTTGCAATACCTTAAGGCACAGTGGGTTGTTTTAAATTTGCTAGTATTAAAATAATGGTTGGGCTCTTAAGAGGAATACCAAAACCTAAAAACAAATGGTTGTCTTATAGATGTGAGACTCCTCTGCTGCACCTTTCTATTATTAGAACCTACTTAGAAAGATGAATGCCAGTCTGCCTTTCTTATATGGCCTCTTTTATGTTGGTCCATAACCATTTTAGGAAATACTAATTTATAGGTCAAATTCTCCAAAAGCTCTGATAACTTTTAAGGATAACTTGACTTTATTGATGGATTTTAAGAAAACCAATAAATATGTTGGGAATTTTGATGGAAACAAGTGTTTTGTTCATTTGTTTTTAATCATAAATCAATTTAAATGTAAGGAATTTTTTTTTAATTTTCATTTTTCTACGTTTTAAATGTGAAACTATCTTTACCAGGGGTTGTCAGTTTTTGTAATCTTGCCCTGTTTAATGCTCTGATTTACACGATTAGATTAAAATGTGCCTTTTTTTTCCTTCTACCTTTAGGAACAATTGGCTTCTTCGCTTGCTTCTGGTTTGTAAATAAGATCTACAGTGTGGTGAAAGTGGACTAGAGGACTGAGCAAGGACTGATACCTAGCTGCCACAGAGCTGGGCTCCTCAGTGATGCCTGTGTAATAAAGTTGTCTAAACGGACCTGAACTGAAACCGTCACACATAAAAAAAAAAAGATAATACTTACAGAGTCCTTTTTGTGCTTTAAACCTCTTTTGCTTTTTTTTTTTTTTATAAATATATATATATATAATATTGTTTCACTGTCAACTTGTAGTACTCTGAATGGCGCCTTGAAAATCAACAAGGGTTCCAGTGAGCCATTTGTTTTACTTTAATTTTCTAAAGGAAGTCAGATATTTTAGTTGGTTTTTCTATTCTTTCATGGATAAATGCTCTCTTTTTTTTGTTTTGTTGCTTTTTTCAATGCCTGTTCTGTAATGATTTGGAAAACAGAATGTGTACATATGTTATATAAAGAGGGAGAGTGAGAATACTTCTTAAAAGCGGTCACCACCGTTTTCTGCATTTTCTTTTCTTTTTCTAGGTGTGAATTGGGTTAAAATTCATTGAACATCAAATTGTAATGTAGTCTAAACATGTAAAACACTGACGCTGGTTTCACAAATTTTGTTCTTAATTTAAGATTTTGTAGGGTAGAAGGGTGAAGCCTGTCAGTGGCTAAAGCCTGTAACATATTAAGGATCTGTCCATGTGTACGGCAGCAGAAAAGACTCAAACGTGATTGCAATGCAGACCATGAGGATACTTGTATGCTTCCTAGAGATTCATCGCTTAATGATCTAAAGTGGTTTGTTACACTTACTTAAATTAAACACCATTGCTGTATGCTTCAGGCCGTGGGAAGTGTTCATCAGAGGTGAAAACTTTACAAATAAATGTAATCAAATCAAAGGGGAAACAGTGGTGTTGTCTTTGAGCTACTATAAATATCTCCCATTGCCATTTTTTTCAACTAGTGTCTAAACTGCACCTGACATAAGTATTGCTACCATGATTTTTCTATTTTTAACTAAATATAAAGCAAACTAGGTGACAAGTTATCCAATTATCGATGCATTGGCTTCATTTGGTATAATATACTGATAATTGATGATACAATTACTGTCTTTTTCAAAACTAGAATTAAAAGGGACATGAACTGAGGAAAATGATGCCGGATTTTACTTCAATAAACATTGTTTGCGTTAAGTCAAATGACACATTTTTCTTTATACATGACATTTTATTAAACCAACCAAATTAATACAAGTACACAAAGTACCAGGTGGATTTCTAAAGGCTAAAACATTTTCACTTCTTTACTGTAATGCCAACTGTTCTATTGAGAGATTCTGACAAGTTTGATTGTCAAATATGTTTAAATCTTTTTACAGGCCTCCTAGGTATTTACAGATTTCTAACAAAGACTTGGAGAAAACAGAGTTTTTCTTTCTTTTTTTTTGATGCCACAAAGATGAAACCTTTAAATGTGATTCTACCTGTATGATTCTATTAAATCATACAGGTAGATTGGTCAAATATTTTCTGTCTAAGGAAACCCAGCAGATTACATCAATTCAGTCACTTTGCAGAATTCACTCTTTCTGGCTGAGCATCTAACAACAGCAGATGTCAGCTTGCATTGTCATTGACTTTGCCGCAACACACAATTCCAAGGTTTTCCTTTAAAAACACTGAAACTAAGTTCAAGTTATTTAGAGGTGCCACCTTTTAAATGACATCATGGAAAATAAGCTAGGAGCTGGAACAAAATATCTATGTTTTAGTGGGACAAAGATTTTAATATTCAGCTGGATTAACAAGAATGTATTGAAGAGATCTGATTGAACTCAGAATGTATTTAACCACATATGAAACATGATGTTTTATGGTGGTTAATGATATGGAGCTACTTTGCTCTAAATGGTATCAGTGTAAAAAAAAAAAAAAAAAAAAGATAACGCATGAGGGCTATTGCTGGATTGTTCCACTTCGTCAAAATAAACAGCTGGATAATAAAAATCTTAACACAATGAGGTCCAAAAATCCCCAAAACACATCAAAACTAGTCATATAATGGATAAATCAGGCTATACTTGACCACAATTGTATTCATAATCTGAATATTATAATCTGCCGATTTAAAAAGAGAGCAGTCAAATGTCCATCTAGAGCTGCACCAGAGGCTATTTGATAGATGCTAGTTTATAATTGAGGTATAACTGGATAGAAAACATTGAGAAAACTCACCCAAAAAAATCCTAAAATATAGACCTAGTTCATTTTTCTGACTATTCTATATGATGATCATGACACATTGGAAAAAGTTCAAATGCACCTTTAAAGCTCCACGTTAATACTGTACTTATGTAATGAGTGTATAATTTCTGACCACATTTATAAATGAGGCTCTATCTGTGGCTGTAAGCCTGTAAGCATTTTTTCTATTATTTCGATTAAAAATATAACAGGAATATTACATGTCTATGTGCTCAATGTCATATAAGAAATCTGTCACATAGGTACTCCTGGCTTGCTGCTTACTGTAAGAAATTGGCACAATGTTTTATTTTTAGCACATTTCTCCCTGTTTTCTGCACTTTGAAAGAAAATATTTAAAATCTCCAAAGAAAGGTGGTAAAAAGTACAAAAACGGCACACTGGAGAGGCAAAACCTTTAGATTTTGTCAGAATCAACTAAGAACTAAGACAAATCTATGTTTGGTCCTTTTGTTACATAAAGGGAATTAGAACTCCTGTGTGTTTCTTTTTTTACTTTCAGGCACAATGAATCATTTTCTATTTCAAAACGAAGAGGAGTTGCAGAGAAAACAAGTATTTACAAACTAAAAATTGAATTGTTATGGAAACAGTTCTTTTCTTATTCTGCAAGAAATACCCTGAGTTAATAATGTGCAATGCCCTACAGCATGCGGCACAGAAAAACACAAAGAGAGGTTTGGCAACAGCACACCAAAAAAAGATAAAAAAAAACATTACTGACCATTTTCAGAGAACAAAAATTATTTTCTGCTATGACAAGGTTTAGAATGAGTAATCAAAATTAAGAATAATGTATAGGTCCATTTTGAAATTCAAGCAGCAGTAATTACAATATTGGATACTTCTGATAATGCTTTTACAGGTAGAACATATTGATTGCTGCAATATCCTGCACTTATGTGTGTATAGTTTTTAAAATTGCATTACGCATATATCCCGATATAGGTAGATTCAAATTTGATCACTTTTGACCTCTTGAATTTTGTTTTACCAGTAACATATTTAGTATTGTACAACCTTAATTGGTAAAAATCCTTTTTTAGTTTGTATACATATAATAGAGAGACATACATTGTTATTGACATCTGAGTAGCCATTAAAATTGAAAGTTGATCTGCTACTGAGAGTATTTAGCACTAGCAGTAATTCCAAATGTGTCTTTTTTTTCCAAATTGCAGAAAGAAAAGCACTTGGATGTGACCTATTTTCCAGATGAACTACTGACACACTGAACAGATCATGGATGCCACCTTCTGTGAAAACAGCTAAAAACTTCATAAAGAGGTGTTCACATCATTTTTTAAACCATTTAAATCCAATATGAGTCAAACCTCACCCCCATTTGATTACTGAATCAACTAAAATGAACAGATGCATTGAAAGCTGTCTACTTCAATTAAGATACCTGCTCTCAATTAGTGAAATTGCTTCAAATATCCTCCATTATCCTTTGGTATACAAACCAAGCATGTATTTAAATGATTGATACAATATTAAGTACTATAGCTTTCAATTTAATCAGGTTGGGCCCAAATTTATAATCACAGAAGAGAAACTTTTCACATAGGCGTAAATCATGAGGTTTGCTTATCGTGAACAGGGAGCTCTCTCTCTGAGCTAAAACTGGTAGAGGTGGTCTCTCTACGACTGTCCCTGGACTTCCTCTCACAAGTGGGAGAGTAAGAGGTTGTGCATTCTTCCCAGGTCTGTAGAGGAAAGACTCTAGCAGCCAGACTGGGAAGGTGAGAGTGAGCACCGGTGCGTCCATCTGCCGTGCCAAAGCAACTTTCCACAGTGGAGCTCTGGCGTGGACGACCCTGCTTGCAGAGCATTCCATAAAGCAAAGCCAGGAACTCCTTTCTCACACTGCGGTGCATGTAGCCGTAAATGTACGGATGTAGGCAGCACTGTAAGAAGAAGAGCACAAGGGCGACGGAGGACATCCATGGGGGCACATCGATTCTGCTGTTCATCGATATTGTATTTATGATGCTGTAGGGACCCATGCTGAAGATATATGAAGCCATGATGACAAACACAACACGAGCTGCCTTGCAGTGGTAGTGGAACCGTCTGTGTTTAACCCGAACAGGGTGTCTTCGGGCTGTGCAGGGGCCCTCGGGCAAACTTGGCTGCTGGGGTATGGGCAGCCGCTGCGGACTGTTGGGGCTCTGGAATTCCTGCTGGCAGGGCTGGGAGTAGGACTGTGTCTGTATGGGATGCACTAATGCATTCTGTCTCCGGGCTGCTCTGAACACCATCCAGTAACATCCAAGCATTATGAGCACTGGAAGCCAGAAGGAAAAGATGGATACCACAGCAGAGTAGGACAAACTGGAGGCCCACAACACCGTGCAGACCTTATAACGTTGGTCGAAGTCTATAGTCCCCCATCCATAGAGAGGGGGTGTGCTCTGCAGAAAGCTCAGCACCCAGGTGGCAATGATCAGGTTTGTGCCTAAGTGCGGGGTCATGCGGGTCGGATAAGATAGAGGGTGAATAATGGCCAGATAGCGATCCACCGAGACAACTATGATGGTATTGACCCCTGTGAATGCAAAAAGGTGCATAAGCACCACCAGAGCCTGGCACAGCCGAGCATCCAGGGGCCACACACCTGGCAAGGCAGCCGCAATGGCAAAGGGCATCACTAAAACAGTCTGCAGCAGATCCGCCAAGAGGAGGTTGAGTACAAAGCGATTGGCAACGTGAAGGAGCTGAGGCTTCCTTTGGAAAACCAGCAGAACGACTACATTCCCAAACAAGGAGAGGCATACGATCAACGATATGAGCGCCACCTTCACCACACTGTCAGCAAAGGAGGACCAGACCAGGTCCTGACCGGGGTGGGTGATGCCATACTCCAGGGGATCATTAGTGAAATTGGAGTCCAAACCAGGTGCCTGGGAGCTTGACATCTTCCAGATGGCACCCAGTAGTGATGACACAATGTCAGGTCAGTCCCATACTTATCAGAGCCTAAATCCACCTCATCTACAGCTGTGGTTTCAACACAAATCTCACATTGCTTTTAAACGCATTTCATCCAAAGTGACAACATCCCCATAAGGTGTGAAAACTGCCCACGCGTGTCGTCCACGAGCAGCTGAAGATAACCCACAGTGATTCTCCGCTCATTGCGATCGGTGTTTAATCCCTGAAGGCTTCACCAGACGAAAACAGGCCCCCTTCCTCCTCTCCTCTCCTCCTCCTCCTTCCTGCAGCCGACATCTGCTGAATGAAAAACGGGATTCAGCGACAGCAGATGCCACCGTCCCAGCCTCCAGCGGACGGAAGATATCAGCAGCCGCTAATCTGTTACTGATGCATAAAAACGCAGAGATGATCAGCGGTGCGATCATTTGCTTGATGATGCGCTGCGCTCCGTTTCCATCCAGTCATCGCCGACGCGCTTCACCCAGCGGGGGTCTCTCATCCAGGCGGCTACATCTTCTCCACTGCTGCGCTTTTTTTTGTCGGATATCAAGGCGAACCGTTTATTATTTTTATATCAGCTTTGATTCCTCCTTCGCAGGTTTAGGTTGCTTAAAGTCAGATCTTGTCTCCGATGTGTCAGAATGAATAAAAAAAAGGGACACCTGTACAGAAATCTGTCCCCCGCAGCTACAGCCGCCACCGCTGGAGCTCCGCACCAACCCCCTCCTTTCTCTAACCCCGCGTTGATATGAATGTGAGCGCATCTCGCCATCCACTTTATACATCATAGAAACATCTAAAAATGATCTGCGTTTTCTAACGAGCTCAATGCTAAACGATTTTCTTAATTAACACAGCACACAACGGGATCACTTTAATAAGCTCATATAAAATACAAAAAAAAAAACCAACATGTTTTAATTTAGGTTTTACATATTTGCACAATTCTAAGGTGAATGGAAAAAAAAATAAATAAATAATAATAATATATATATATATATATATATATATATATATATATATATATATATATATATATATATATATATATATATATATATATATATATATATATATATATATATATATATATATATATATATATATATATATATATATATATATACATGGGCGGTTTTACACAGGGGCCAATGGGGGCCAGTGCCCCTGTAGATCATGTTCTGGCCCCTGTTATGGAATTAAAGTCTTGGTTCTGTTATGTTTTCTTTCAACCTATTCTCATTATGAAATCGTACGAAAAGTTATGCACCGTAATTTCGTATGTTTTGGACGTTTTTTTTCGTCATATGCGCATGCGCATCTGACGCACCATTCAAGAACATATAAATTACAATTAGCCCCATAGACCCTAACCCTAACCCTAAGATATAAAACAGCAAGCAACGTAGTTAGAGACATGAATAAGTGATGATTGCACTGTTTTTCCCAGTTTTACATCCGTCCACGGATCTGCTTTTTTTTCTGTCTGCCAGCGCATGTGCACTGATGTGGTTTTTTGAGGAAAAACGTCCAAAACGTACGAAATAGTGTGCATAACTTTTCGTACGATTTCATACGCACTGATAATGAGAATATGTTGTTTCTTTTGAGTATTCAGTTTCACTTTGCTCCATGTTTTCTAGTTTTATTGGTTTAATTCTTATTTTGTTGTGTTTTCTGGTTATATTTCAGTTCTTACGTTTTTATTTGTTGCTCTCTGTTGCCCTCTTGTGTTGGTCTCATTTTTCCCTAGCTCCTTAGACAGCTCTCTTCACACCTGCTCCCAATCTGCTCGTTAGTCCCTTCTAAGTTCAGTAAGCCATAAATGCTCTCCTTGTGCAGTTTCTCAGCGCTCGACTTCTTTTAAATCCGTCTTACTGTGTCTTCCTCGTTGTGATGGTTTTCCCCCTGAAGTCTCCATGGTTTCTGGTTTGTTTTTACTTAGACTTTTGCTTTTTCCATGTTTGATTTTTGGATTCCTGCCTCAATTTTCTGTTAACCTTTCATTAAATCTACAAGAAACTCACCTCTGCCTCCCTGCCTGTGCATTTGGGTCCTCAAACCACAACCAAATCCTAACATATCGCCCCTATACTGAAGACATAATACTCAAAGAAATTGAAATGAAAATAAGCGCTGGAACAGACATGGTTACTGATAGGTCCTTTGGATCTATTTCAATTTTTTTTTCTTTACAGATTTCAGAGAAAATGATAATTTGGACTTAAATGGAGTCAAAAATACGTAAAATTCTTAATTTATGAATGTTTATCAATCTAATAAGAAATAAAATTTTAATAATCAAAACTAATTGAATAGAAATGTCACTTCATGCAGGTCTGTTGATATATTTGAATCCCTTGCCCTGTTTTTTATTTCATGCTTTTCTGTGCCCCCATGAAAACACGTTGGCCCCCTGCTGGCCCCCTGCTGGTACGTTTTGGTCTAGAACCGCCACTGTGTGTGTGCGTGTATATATATATATATATATATATATATATATATATATATATATATATATATATATATATATATATATATATATATATATATATATATATATATATATATATATATATATATATATATATCAGGTCCTGAAAAGCCAGCTGAATGGGAAAAACAAGATCCAAGCGATCAACACATATGCCCTACCAGTCATCAGATACCCCGCTGGTATAATAAACTGGCCAAAGGAGGAGATAGAGGCTACTGACATCAAGACGAGAAAGCTCCTCACAATGCATGGAGGGTTCCACCCCAACTCCAGCACTCTGAGACTGTACACCAAGCGTAGCGAGGGAGGCCGAGGGCTAGTGAGTATCAAGACCACTGTCCAGGATGAAACAACTAAGATCCAGGAGTACATCAGAAAGATGGCCCCCAAAGACAAATGGCTCGGTGAATACCTCAGGCAGGAGAAAACCGAAAGTGAGGACAAGAAAGAGGAAGGAGAACCACCATGGAGGGACAAGCCGCTGCACGGCGTGTACCACAGACAAATAGAAGTAGTGGCTGATATCAAAAAATTCTACCAGTGGCTGGAAAAGGCTGGACTGAAGGACAGCACAGAGGCACTAATCATGGCAGCACAAGAACAGGCACTCAGTACAAGATCAATAGAGGCCAGGGTCTACCACACCAGGCAGGACCCCCGATGCAGACTGTGCAAAGATGCCTCTGAAACAATACAGCACATAACAGCGGGGTGTAAAATGCAGGCAGGAAGTGCATACATGGAACGCCACAACCAGGTAGCTGTCATAGTGTACAGGAACATCTGCCATGAGTATGGGCTGGAAGTCCCAAGGTCAAAATGGAAGACACCTCCTAAGGTAGTTGAGAATGACCGAGCTAAGATCCTATGGGACTTCAAGATCCAGACTGACAAACAGGTGATGGCTAACCAACCAGACATCGTGTTGATCGACAAACAGCAGAAGAAGGCAGTAGTGATAGATGTGGCAATCCCAAGCGACAGCAACATCAAGAAGAAAGAACACGAGAAGCTTGAGAAATACCAAGGACTGAAGGAGGAGCTAGAAAAGATGTGGAAAGTGAGAGCAGCAGTGGTGCCAGTGGTAATTGGAGCACTGGGGGCTGTGACCCCCAAACTGGGAGAGTGGCTACAGCAGATTCCAGGTAAAACATCAGAGGTCTCTGTCCAGAAGAGCGCAGTCCTAGAAACAGCTAAGATACTGCGCAGAACCCTCAAACTCCCAGGCCTCTGGTAGAGGACCCGAGCTTGAGGATGACACATACCACCCCACGAGGGGTGAGAAAACAGTTGTTTTTTTTAATATATATATATATATATATATATATATATATATATATATATATATATATATATATATAAAGATTCTGAAAGGTGTGGCATGCATTTATAGTCAGTCCTTGGGCAGATGATACTTTTGAATGTCTCTATCATAACCATTTTCAACAAAATAATCCCCTCCCCCAAACCCACAAAACTCAAACATTGATGTTGTTTGCTTCAACTGTTATACATCATGGAAACATATAAAAATGATCTGCGTTTTCTAACGAGCTCAATGCTAATCGATTTTCTTAATTAACACAGCATTTATAGTCAGTCCTTGGGATCACTTTAATAAGGTCATATAAAATAGATTAATAAAGCGTGTTTTAATTTGAGTATTTCTATAAATATAAGGTTTTGCAGCAAACTTAAAAGTCTTGCGTGGTGAGCCTGCATACAGGCCATGGCGGTTGAGTGCATTATTGTTTTCCACAACAATTGTACCTGTTAATTCCAGGTCTTTCTGATGCTCTCCACAAGTGGTGTTTGGCTCTTGGATAACTCTTCTAATAAATTATATTTACTCCTCTGTCGGAAATCTTGCGAGGAGCACCTGGTTGTGGTCGGGGTTTTTTTCTTCCAATTATATTCTTTCCACTTCTGGATTATGGCCCCAACAGTGCTCACTGGAACATTCAGAAATTTAGAAATCCTTCTGTAACAAATACCATCATTATCTGCAACAATAAGGCTGTGAAGGTATTGAGAAAGCTGTTCACTTTTACCCATCATGAGATGTTTCTTGTGTTATAAAAGAGACACATTTTTATAGGCCATCATTTGGGACTGAACCAGCTGACATGAATTTGCTCTGACAAGGGGCAGGATAACTTTCTAATTACTAAAAGATTTCGGCTGGTGTCGTGGCTTCCTATGCCTTTTTTGACCTTCCTTTCTTCACTTGTTCAATACTTTTTCCTTGAGCCTTTTCATTTTATTACACATAACTTAATTTCTGGACATCTATAGTTGGTTTTCTTTGTAGGTGTGGATTGCAACCAACATCTTGTGATTTTTTTATTTTTTAAATGTCATCCCAATAGTTCCTCTAGAAATATATTTATTGAGAAAAATTGTGGTGTGTTCAATACTTATTTTACCGCTTATACATTAAATGGGTTGCGCAATGTTGTTTATGTTAAGAAGACTCCTGGGTGATCCAGAGACAAACTCTCCTCTACAAAAGCTAAAACAAAAGAGCAAACATTCTGTTTTAGTCCTCTTTACTTGTAGTATATTGTTTCAAGTGATTTTGGTTAATATACCAGCATTAAAAATTCAAAATAGGAAATTTTACATGATGGTATCACTGCTGCCACCATCAGGCTTAGGGGAGAACTGCTTGTTCTCTGCCCCTGCTCCTCTCGCAGCCCAAAGGTTAGTTTATCTCTTAATTGTCCTTAGGTATGTCCTCAGGTTCTCCAGTCTTCTTCATGGATTGCATGTATTAGCCTAACCCATTACCATCTACTGTGGCCATCCTCTTGATCCCTGCTGAAGACAAGAATTCCCACAGCATAATGCTTCCATCACTATGTTTATGAGCCACATGACGGGATGTCTTTAGATGTAGCATCACCAGCAGGAGCGCTGCTCGCGCGCCATGTTTTCTGCGCAGATCTGTCCGTTACAGATTTTCCTAGGTTCTCCTTGCAGAAAGTCTGTCCGCAAGGAGTCTGTGCAGAAGGAAGCCCAAAATTACATAATTGGCCATGCAGACGCGTCAAGCATAAACCAGGCTTAACGGTGCATTCATTTTAACTGAACCTTTGCCTCATTGCAGCAAATGTATGTCTCTATATGAGACTGTGATTGAAAATGACAATAAATGCATAATAAAACATGATTTTTTAATGTATCTTAAAAATGCAGAGTATATGTGATCCCTGTAGGCTTAAATCCAAAGAA